TTTGCTATTCCCATCTCCACTCTCAAATGCTTAGTACTTAAAAAAAAACGACAATGCCAACAACCCCGCAACAAGCTACTGACCCCAAGCAAATTTAGTTTTCCAGCATCAAATTTTATTATAAATAACAATGTTTTTAAATTATAAAAATGTTCTGGTAGTACTGCTCTTTTACCTTCTTTCCAACACACACATAACTCTGCCCCTCCCTCTTAATCTCCTGGCATGTCTTAAGTTACACCTAAATATAATCAAGACAAAAAGTTATTTGGCTTTTTGGAGAAGGCCTACCAAAAAAAATAAAAATAAAAAAAAAAAAACAGGAACAGAAAATATTCTTATCAGATTTATAAACTACTTGCAAAGCAGGTTTCACAAAAATCAAATCTCATCTACAGGGGGATTCGTAAGCTCTATAAAACCTGGGGATCGTACCATCTAGTATAAAGCGCTATATGAGTCTAACAGAAGAGCAGTCCTATAACTTTCTGTACAAATGCCATAATGAAGACCTGATAGTTACTCCCCTGTCAAAGCTAGAACAAGCTTTCCATTATAAGCTTCATTTTTTAAATCCTCCTAAGCCTCCTTACCCAAAATGTTTCATGAATGTCTTCAGACCCAATGAGATTCTCCCCCTTGCCAATCACCCCAAACTTGAGGCTAATTAGACATAGCAAGTCTCGCAAATGGGAGGTCTTTTCATCTTAGGAAATGAGAATAACTTCTCTTACTATGTCAGCTCAAAAATGGCTTGGTCTGGAAATTTGAAGTTCTGTTCTGTTACCTGCAATGAGAACTAGCGTCCAAGAATTTTAGAATAGTTGGGAAGTCAATTTTGGAGAAAGTCACTCACTGTAAAACTCCCAAAACTTTTCAAAACTGTTAAGTCCTGACAGAGGTTATGAATTCCTCTGTTTAAACTTTTGTTAACAAGACAGCTTCTAGCTCTTTGTGTTAGAGATAAATTGAAAAGGAACACTGATCACTACGGTTAGCAGTTCACCAAGTTAATCTTTCCCTCAAAGTCATTCAGTTATTCATGGGCCTCCTGTACCACCCTCCTCCACATCCAGGAAGGAAAACATGTCAGCCACCAGAGCTGCCCGGAAGAGTTTCTGCTCCTGACTGACAGCATCTATGCACACCCTTCCTCCCATAAGGGAGAGCAGATGGGGGAATCCTAGACCTCATCTTCAATTCAGTGACTCCACTAAAAGACACCATGACCCACCAGTCCTTGAGCCAATGTCACTTTCCTTTCCACAGAGGTAACTGCATACTAACGTGCCTCAGCAGCAGACATTTTCCACCCATTTATCCACTGACAACCAGTTGAGCAGTGGATAAGGAAGATGTAGTGGCGGAAATTCACCCTACTGATGGGTGAGCACATGATGGCATGACATTTAATCCCTTCTGTCAGGTAAAGAGTGGTATTGACAAAGGCAATTACTTCTTTAAAAATGTAGAGGTAAGAAGCCATTATACAGATAAATTATCTTGTCACAGAAAAAACATTTAGATGACTTCAGGTCACAGTTAGTAAAGAGAGCATGTATGCCAATAAAAAAAAAAAAAATACATAAATACTTACAAGATACTTTTTCACTAGCTTTTTGACCACAATTTTTTTTAAAAAAAGTTTAAAAATGGAAAAATAAAAGCCTCCAGTTACCATATTTCAAGTGGTATCTAAAAATTTCCCTACTTATAAGACCCCATACACAGACACATGTACATCTACCTCAACCTCCCCCCCCCCCAAAAAACACACAAACCCCGAAATCCTGGAACTGCATGCAAATCTGATGCTGTCCTCTATTTTGACAGCAGATAGCGGAGTAGCACATCCATATGCTGATACACATGTTTAAAGTGTCTTACAGTTTTAGTCAGTGAAGTGGAGAGTTTCTATAGTTTTACCACTTACCAATCAGGTGGGTAGAAGGTGAGGATTATATGGCCAAAGTTAGGTTTGCTTGCAGAATCTTAACTCTGCATTGTTTGGTCTCCTATTTATAAATATAACAATACTAATGTTTTACATAACTATTTGCTTACAACTTCTACTCTGTTAATGAAGTTGTCTGGAAGTAGTCATTAAAACCTTCAGAGAAAGTATACATACAGAGTACATATTTACATTTTTCTAATGACTACCCAAGAATGACCTATAAAGGTCCTGTAACATTCCGTTCCTGTATGATGAACAAATATCAATGGTGGGCTTGCATACCAAGTCTCATTTGTATGAGAGTGAGTGAAAGTATTTTACAACTTGAAGCACTTAAGAATAAAAATGTGCAGCTACAGCATGATATTTTGCAGCTGCAAGATGTCAGGTCAGAGCTACAAACTCCAGTCTCTCTAATGATCTTTCTGGTATGAGGGGCCAGCTCCATTATAATTAAAGACAGCAATATAAACTTGGCAATTCTCCCTATGTAAACTAGAGCTAATCAGCCGGTAACACAAATTCCTGGCACTCCAACAGTTGCGTCAAAGCATGTTTGAAGGAACTCAAGTCTTTCTTCTTGAAGTTTTCGCTTACGAATGACTGTCCCAGAACAGCAATCAGCTGTCAGAAGAACCACCAAATCTGGACCAAGCATATTCTCCCACACAAACTCACAAGTCAAGAATGTCTTCAGAACAAGCTGTTCATCTGGGTGACTAGTATTTCTACAATCTTGCTCATTTAAAAAAAAAATACATTTGTCTTTTAACACTTCATTTTCAACCACAGTAGTTACTGACACTGACTTAGGAGATGTCTACACTGCCATCAGAAGTGTGACAGCAGCACATGCAGACATCACCGAGCTAGCTAGTTCAGGTACCAAAAGCAAAGAAGCTGCACCAGCAGCAGATGGCAGCATGGGCTAGCTGTCCAAGTACATACCCAGGGTCCCAGGCACAGTTGTATAGCCCATGCTGCCATGGCTTCACTGCTACTGTTACTTAAACTAGCTAGATCAAAGCTAGCTTGGATAGGTGTACACTTGCTGTATCTCTCTGTCACTGGGGCAGTACAGACAGCTGTGTTAAGATTAGAGAGGAAGGGGTAAAGACACAATACATATCACATAACTTTTTCACCCCCCAAAAAGTGTGTTAAAATCAGCCTCTAAATCAACATAGTAGATTTTATAAGGTTGAGGAAATCAACCCAGGGCCAGAACAGGTTTGTTGAACCAGGCCTTAAGTTAATACATTACTAAGATTGCACAAGAATGTTTGATTTTTAGAAAAAAATGCTCTCTCTCATCCCCACCTCCTTCCATTACTCCCTAATTGGAGGACCTAATGTGTTGCAATGCAGATTGTAGCAGTCCATCACTGCAGAAGCGTTTCCAGCTGTTGCTAATATAATGTAACAAGGAATGCTGGAATCCAGCAGAAGATGAGAGGCATGTTTGATTGACCTAGACCAGACTCAAAACTCAGTGACTTGTATGTCTGTGTCCATATGTATCCAATGCAAAATGGTTAGTCCCACATCTGACTAGCTGATTCAAGAAGAATCCAATCATTTTTTTAAAATATAGCATCAATCCACATAAAACTACAAATGAAGTCTCCTCTAGTATTGCACAATGCAGAGTTTAATGACTCTCAGCTATTCACTACCTTTTCAGTTCTGGAGCTACTCCAGGCCAAGGTCAAATTCTCTCATTTATGCAACCACATGGCGGGGGGGGGGGGGGGGGGGGAGAAAGAGGGAGGCAGAAAAAAAAAAAAAAAAAAAAAAGTATGTATAAATCAGGTTCCTGAGTAAATAAGTTCATCATTTACTAAAAAAGACACTCCTCCTCCCTCTGCTCCCCCCTTCTCCTGCTCTCAAACTAGGACTCACTATAAAAGGCACAAAGTCCTTACTCTCCACTACCTAAGCCCCCTTCCAGTAAATAATTAATGCCCTTGCTCCCCTTAACTGTTAAGTATGAAAGAAAGCAGGGTGTGTGTGTGTGTGTGTGTCTGTGTGTGTGTGTCTGTGTGTGTGGTGTTTTTCACATGTCCTGTATTTAGCGGATAGCTCGTTTTTGTATTTCATGTAACTCACCCCTCTATACAGCTTCAGGCTAGGGTCTTCAAAATGGGGCCTACAAGACTTGGGCTTCCAAGTGGGGCTACAAAAGCCCAAAGCCCTTTGACTTTGGAAGTCCCAGCCCTCAGCCAATAGGGACACCGTTGGGTTAAAATTTAAGTTGTCACTATCATCATCATCTTGCAAAAGAATATTTTAGAACTTGTTTGCTTTTCATTATTCATGCCTTTGCTGCCTCACTCAGCTTGGACAGTAAAATTAGACTATTTATTTAGATTTAACATTTAAAAAAAACACAAGAACTCCAAGCACTCTGAATAGAATTAGACCTACCACAACAAAACACCCAGCAGCATAAATACTAGAATACAAATAAGTTAACTCTGCCAATCAGGAATATTAAGTAATCAAATGAAGATAATTTAACTTAGGCAGCTGCCAAAATGGGAGGACTCCAGAAAAGCTCTCACCCCCAAATCACACCCAGGAACATACCCCTCCTTGTTCCCAGAAACCCTATCAGGCAAAGTAACTAGTCTGTGTATAGAGCCAATTTCCAATATTGATCCCCATGTATTAGCACTTTTTATTTCAGTAGCCGATTCTCAAGGAAAGATTGTTTTTAAATTGTGAGAACTTATTTTGTAAAACAATTTTAAAGCCAAATCTAGAACTGAGGTGTATACTGTCTCCCTTTTTTTCTTACTTATGAAAGCAGTACCTTAGATTAATAAGTTACATTTCTTGTCATGTTTTCTCTACATTTCCTCCACCACCACCACCGATGAGATTTCAGGTTTAATTAAAAATTCAATCGAGAAACCTTAAGAGTTATAGGCCGAGAGAACTGAAGCCTAACACTTGACTCAGCATCGTTTCTCTGTCCATCTGCTGAGTCCACATGCTTTACGCATTACTTTACAAAAGTAATAGTGAAGATTCTCCTCACCTGATGACCATGAAGAGTATACAGCAGCCTTCCTTCTAGTAAATCCAGAATTTTAAGGGTTGAATCATTGGAGGCAGTAATGAGGTAGTTTCCAGAGGGGTGAAAGGAAATACAGTTTACCACAGCACTGTGCACTAGGGGAGAAAAAAAATAAAATAAATATATACACACACATATCCAACGTCTAAAACCAATTTTACAAAAAAAGTCGCCCCCCCCCCCCCCACACACACGTTCCAATACTCTGTTATAATATGTTTAATGTGTTTTCTGATCATAATTTTCACATTATGCAGGAACTCTTTTCAAAGCATTCTACAATGAGGGTCATATTCAGGTCTGAGAAAGAGTAAGTTTTGCCAGTTACTCCAAAGCCCGGTTTGGCCCTATGCATTTTAGGTTTAAACCAGAAATTTGAACTGTACACCAAGGTCTTCTCTTACCAGTGAAAAGGGATTCTGTGAGTCAAAACTGAATATTAAACATTTTTCCACCAAGGCTCTACTTTTCTCAAATTCTAAGCCATCTTAAAATGAAGGCAAAACCTCAAAGCCTGCATCTCAGGGAGAATGTTAAGTAACACTTTTGTGAAAAAAAAAAAATACGGAAAGTGATTTTGTTTTGACTTGCCACTTGTGTCAAAATTTCATCTTCCTCCAAAATCTGCAGTCTTAGTTTAAGACACTTTGTAAGAGAAGTACCAGCCATCTTGAAAACATATGTTTGATAGCGGCCCTATTTGAAGGTCTAGCATGAGATGTCTTTATAGTTTCAACAAAGCTCACCAGGACATTGAAAGTTTGTTAAAACAGTAAGTAGTATTTGGGGATTTTTAATTTTGAAACATGCATGTCCAGTGATACAAGCCTTTCTACATCGGGACAGAGCCTAAGAGCGGTACTTAGAAGAATTAAAAAAAAAAAAAACTTCAGGAAAAGTATGAATTAAAATTCTGAATAGCATCTTTTTCAAACCTTCTGCAACAAAATGATCTCCTTATAATTATGTATTATAGCATAAATATGCTATTGGGCATATTTGTTTGTGGGAACATATAGTACTTCACATAATGTACAACTGCTTATGCCTATGTGATATTACAGGATACTAGTAACCACCACTTAAAGATGTTTTGAATATGAAGTCTAATTTGTCTCTTAGTTACACTATCTGGCTCCAAAACGTTCTAGCGCCTTGAATTTATGCTTTATTATAAAAAGAGACAAAGACTAAATTCTTAGTTTTTATTTCAATCCAAGTTGCACATTAAACTTACCTAGTCTTACTACAAACCACAGATAGAATTTTAAAAGCACATAACACCTTGCATTATCATTAGATTGTAAAATCTGAAATAATCTTGTTAAGTTAACACAAAATATTTCCCCTTAAACATTAACAGCAGTTCTCACATCAACAATTCTTAAAGTGTCTTTCAAAAACTATACAAAAGAAGATTCTTAATCCAACCCAGGTAACCTGGAAATGATTACTGCCTCAGGTAAACACTTAACCTTCTCATGTAATTGAAATAATGAATTTAATGCCATCATGTACATTAACTTTCCCAACTGGTGGGCAGTGGGGGGGAGGGGGGGGGGGAGAAACACAAATTTCTGGAGACAAACTGATCCAGAGATCAAAAATAGAACAAATTTTTACTATAGATATTTTAGTTTGGCTCATGTCACAAGAATAGGGTTGTTAGTATAAGAACCCATCACAATGGGATAATATTTCACCAATAATTTTCTACTGCTAATGAAATGTATATAGCCTCCACACTCATATCTATTATTCCCCTCTCCATATACCCATTCAGTTAATGGACGTACATCTATTTTATCAAAGGAATAAGTTTCAGAACAGAATACTTTGACCAGAAATATGGTGGCCAAGAGTGGATCCTCTGAAGCCTGGGACAGGAAATGAACTACTTCCAACTTCAACAAAGAGCATGGGAACTTTCTAGGATGGAAGGAAACCATACAAACCCTGCAGACAGGTCGAGGCCAAGCTTTGTAGGCAGCCACAGCTTTTGTGCCCAAGTACTTCTTGGCAGCCTAAGCTCAGAGAAAGTTCCATCTGTCCTCCTCTGCCATCAATTATTGCTATTTATTATCTGTACTACCTTAGTGACTACGGACCAACTCATAGATCAGGGACACCACTGTTCTAGGCATTTACAAACACAGAACAAAAAGACGGATTGTAAGCCTCTTGGGGCAGGGACCAAGTATAAAATGAGACAACAGATGGATATAGACAGAGGGAAGAATACTAACAATGAGGCAATACTGGTCAGCATGACAGGCAGTGGTCTCAGCAAACTAGCACCATAACACTGCTCTACAGCCAAAATGCTTCTGAAATAAATGTAGTCAA